GTGCTCAGAAGCCAAAGCTAAACAAACTCTGATTATGTACACCAGAAACATTTTTCCAACAGGTAATAGTCACCGGAATAATCTGCCAAGGGTTGCAGTAGGATTTCCCAGAAGATGCAACCTCTTATTGTTTCTAAAGAGAAGCTCTACTTCAAACACAAATTAAGTAAGGGAAGTCTTACAGCCTCTGTTACCCGAGAGGTCATGCAAGATGGTCATAATACTCTCTTCTGGCCTTGTAACCTATAAATAGATTAGAGTCCCAGTGGAAAAAAAGAATTATCCTTATCTTGGGCTTTCCCAAAACAGTGTGAAAAAAACAATAGAAATGCAGAAAGATCAGAAATAGTCATTTTGCAACAGTTGTGTCTGGTCTGGTATTTCTACTGATTTTGAATTTTACTGCAGAATGTCTTTTAAGATCTTCTTTCTTCCTGCCAGAGTCAGCCATGCCCAATACACCCATTTCCAGAGCTGCTAACTAGTCAATGTTTGATAATCATAACAAAGGTTGGGTTTGAAGTCGGTGGGAGTTTTGCCATTCTCATCTAATGGGTGGATCAAACCAGAGTATCTTTGCAATTTAAGGACACACCTCAAATCCTCCATCCGATGCAAAATGAAACTCAGAGGAATTATGCCACACACACACACAGCTGCTGAGTCTGGCTGAAAGAACAGACGTTTCTCATATATTGTGTCAAATATTGTTATATTTAGGCCAACATTTGAAAAGAATTCTACCTACATGAAGTGGGTCACTAAATAGCCACTATACAAATGCCATACCAGCCACAGACACGAATGTATTCTGTGCAACTGTGCTGCTTTTATTGTTCTTTGCAAAGAGAGAGTGCTTCACATAGCATGTGTCCTCCTGCAATGTTTTTTGGTTAGAATAAAATAACAAATCCTGTCTTTTAGTTTCTGGGAGTGGTCTGCACGCATGAAGCAAGTGACACAGGAGCACCAATTTGTCTAATGGTTGACTTCAAAAATACAGTGAAACAGCATTTAGATTATCAGTCCCCTCCTTTACTTACTTACTGAAATAATTTTGATGATAATTTAAGTACATAAAATAGTTTGAATTGACAAAATAACGTAAAACATCTGAATAGTCTGAGCCTTACGATCACAGCAGGACTACTAGATTCACAACAGTGCTGTGACTATTCCCCTTTTTACCTTGAACTTGCTGTCCAGCTCTGCTGTCAGCATGGCAGAGCAAGGTTTAATGTGCTCTTTCATCAGTATAAATTTGAAGTCACAGCATTTGCAGTCCAGTGGGAAAGCAGGAGACCCAGGAGCCTACCTGGTCTTTGGTCTGGAGCAGGGATATGAAGCAGAGTGGTTCCTGTCAGGTGTACCTCTCATGAGCATGTACTAACTTCCAGGCTATGGGGTTTTCTTAAACTGAAGTTGTCTCAGTCACTCCTGAAGCTTTTGTGTTTCCATGTTGTTGTTGTGTTTTTTTTTTTTTTTTTTTTTTTTTTTAATTTGAATAATACTTTCATTCTAAGCCCCAAAGAAAAATTACTCTCAAGCCTGCTGGCCAGGACAACTACCTGGGAGGTATGGCAGACACTTGGCCCTCTGCTATAATAAAAGTATTTGAATAGATCCTTAAAGTAGAGATGAATGTTGCCAACAGACATGTCTAGAATATTCTCTCATTTTGAGGACTTGTAGCTCAGTCTTGGGAGAAAAAAAATGATAGTTGAGGTCTTCCCAGATGAAGATGACCTGGAACTACAGGGTCTTGTATTTCACATGAATGCCTAAAGGGCTGAGAATCAGGATGAAATGGGAGCTGCAAGAATAGGAGAAGCAACGTAATTGTTAGATTTGTCAATCTAGCTCAACAGAAAATACATTAGAGAGGGAGTTCCTCCCACAGAAAACAATGGTTTCTGATCAAATCCACAAGTAACTTTGAATTGGCCATTCCTGCCTTTTCAGTGTGTATTTTGAAAGAACTGTCCAATTGCAAATGAGAGCCTCCCTAGCTTCTGGAAGAAGGAACTTCTACTGCTGGCAACAGGCTCCTATTGTCTCCCACTACTGTCCTCGTGAATTCAGTGACAATACTCACACTAATTTTAGAAGAAGCACAGTCAGGCTTTTTGGACAAACCAGGACAAAGTCCTGTTAGAAGAACCGAGCATCAAAGAGTTTAGCTAATCAATATGTACCTGGTAATGATTATTAAAGATACACTTCTGAAGACTTCCAAATACACATATATGCATACTTTTCAGAGGAAAAAATCTGCACTTTAGATATGGTCCAGAGTAGATCCGTGTTTCCATAGGCTGAATATAATTTTCCTGAAAACAAAGGCAAAGGAGAAACGGAAAAGGTGTACAGATTCCTGAGGAGTGTTTTCCTGTCAGATATAAAAAAGCCCATGTTTTCAAATGAAAAACATAATCATCATTCAAGACTGCTCCATAAAAAGCCAAGCACTTTTTGAGCAGACTTCTGTTCAAAGGACCATGTATTTGGGCAGCCCTGGCAAAATGAGGTAATGGTCATATATTGTGATACAAATATCCTAGGAATAATCAAACCAAGAAAGGTTCATATATGCACACTCTGTATTAAACTAGTATCATCTGTAGGAATGGCAATTCTACATCTTCCCCTCTTCTAGAATCCTGCTAGGAAACAGGACTGGACAATGACAGTTTAGGATACTGTCATGTACTAACATGGTACTACGCTCCTGTAAACATCTCGCTCCATTGTTCACCCAACAGCTGGCTCTCAGTATGGTTTCAGGTACATGATTTCTGTCGTATGTCAGCTGGGAAAACACCTTTAGATGTGCCAAATGCCTTCCCAGTGAAATGCCTGGCTCAAACTCAGACTGGTTCCCTCAGGAAAGTAGTGCTTTTGTAGACATCTGTAGCTTGAGTCTTCTGGCTTGGATGGGTCACAGGCTACTCAGCAACAGAACCAGGGCATTCTAATTCTGCCCTTAAATCAAAACTATCTTGCACCCTTTTAAGTACAAAGTGAGACGGTAAAAATTAATTGTGCTTTAAAAACCTGCCCCATGGAACCACAAGATTTTCATGTGTAAAGGTTTTAAAGCTGCCTAAAATATTTAGAAAGAAAAAAAAAAAATCAACAAAACAGTCTGTTTAAGAAAATGTTTTAATTTTATTACTTTCTGGTAGTCATTTTCTTATGTGTCATTTTCTCATTTTCTCTAAACCAGCTATACAATTTACCCGATAGATTTCTTCTCTGTAGAAAAAGAAATCAAGGAAGAATATTGGGAAAGAAAAGCTTGACAAGGTACAATTATTGTAAATAGGCTGTATTATTATTGCTTAATTAAGATAACGAAACAGGTTGGAGGAACAGAGGCTGGGAGTTTACACTTGCCATTTCCTTTCAGGTTTTATTCTTTCTGCACAAGACATGCCCCCTTGTGGGGAGAGGTTCAGGCCCACAAACTATTGGTCTCCCATGACAGGTTTGGTATTGGGCAGAAGAGACAGTTGTCACAAAAAGCTTTTTGCAACTGAATTTCTCATTTTTCAGTCCCTCCCTAGAAAGTGTCATCTTAGTGTACCTCACATTCAGTGGGTTGTGGAGAGGATGAAGAAAAGCAGCAAGCTGTAAGGCCCCCAAAGAGATGATACCGGGGTTAACACAGTAAGAATAGTGTGGAACTGGTTCCTTTAGCTGTGTCAAATACAGTAGTTTTAGCACCCTCCTGGAGCAGAGGAAAACTGCCCTAAAGAGAGCACTGCACTAAAGTTTGCTTGTGACAAGAGGACAATCTAAATGAATCTAAATGAGCATCCTACAAACCCTAGGCATCATCACTGTAGGGATCTCTGCACTTTACTCCTTATTGGCAGGCTCTTAACCCATGTCTAAGCTATGGTAACACTGAAATAGTTCTGAAAATATTTTCAGGCTCTTATTAAAAGCCCTTTTGTCCTTTTTTTGTAATGTTGATTTGGCCATTACAACCACAATGCAGTTACCTATATGTTGTCCTTGCCCATACCTTGAATTAATTTTGTTATTTACTAAAAATCGTCTCTTCAAAATGCCAAAAATTTAGGTGATGTGGATCATAAACATCCACTTAACTGTTATCATGACAACAGATCTTCAAGTAGTGTAGCAACTCCACTGGAGTTATGAAAACTGAGGCTATCAAATTGCATTCAGTGTGAACACAGGGTGAGGAATACCAAACAATATGATACCTTGTGATTATTAAGCACAGGGTGATAGTCTTCTTCCTCCATTCAATACTGAAAGCATATTAATTTTCCCATATGAGAGATAAGCAAACCAACTGTCTCCCCAAAACAGGTGACAGGCTGATGAAACAACCAAATTATCTTTTGTAAAAACTACAAGATGAAAATCGAGCCCATTAAAGCACAGAGACTGGAAGAGTGACAAGAGGCTGCTCCACTCCACTAGAGCAGACAGAGAAAGGGCACCCAAAGTGCAACATAAATTGACAGGAAGGAGGATGGCAAGGAAAGAGAAGGGAGGAAGTCTGTGCTAACAGTGTTTCTATCTGAGCTATTAGCATAAGATATGACAAAATAAACACCATGATTTCTAGATTCACATAAAATACAATAATCTCTCCTGCAGCAAGTTCTTTCTGTATCAAAGTAGAGATCCCCAAGATCCTCTCTTAGAAAACTGTTCATCACTTCAGGGAGAAAGGGTTATTCTACCCTGGTTTGTTCCTTACACCTCAGTACACATTAAAGTGACTTTTCTTATCACTGCGGATACATCTGTCTGCTTTGTTGCTCTAGACATAAACAAACTGCGATTGGAGTACGCAGTAACCTGTCTTCTGGGTGCTGACCCTCACGGAAGACTACAGGGATATTCTCTCCACTCTCACTTGTGTGGAATCTTCATCTGAATTCTCTTGAAATGAGAAACTACAGAGCACATCAAATAAAATGTGAAAAATGAGCGAGTTGGCTTGAGACAATTGACATGCTTCTGACTTTGTGATTTCTACTTCCTTTCAGTTCCATGTAAGAGGATTCAGCACTTGAAATACCTGAGAACTGTAAAGCATTGCAATGTTCGTGTTTGTTGCAGCTGACTAACAAAATAAAATATTTAAGTCAGTTCTTGGAAGGATTCTGCCCTCTGCTCTCAACTGTTACATAAAAAATTGTACACAAATGACATTAGCTTTGTGTCAGAAATAAATTTGGGTAGAATCTCAAGCCTTCCACTGAATCGTCTCTGCAAAGATGGCCCATCTTTTCAGCAAGAAGCAGCCTAGAGAAAGCAAAAGAAGACATGCTGTATTAATTGAGGACAACATGATAATTAAAGTATTAAATACAGCAATTATTACTTACCTTTCTTTGGCTAAGAGAACAGACATCCCCACCAGCTTAGCAAACTCATCAGCTGTGAGAGAACCCTTTTCAGATACCTGTCAAAAACCAAATACACAAATAAACAAACTACAGCATTAAAAGAACAACAAAGTTCTCTCAGCTACTGAATCAGGTCTAGCCTTGAGAAGAGATAAATTGGTAGCAAATCCCTTGAGAAGAAAACTCGTTTGTTCGCATTTTTAAAAAGTACAACTAATTATGACTATTTCCCCTTAAAGATATCTATTTTGTGCCTGGGGGAAATTGCCAAGTATAAAAAAGGAACATAGAAAAGAGTTAGATCTCTAAAAAAAATGTATGGTACCCTTTTCTTTGGATTTGTTTAAAAGATGCCTTGGGATAAAATGAATGGAAAAATCAGAATAGCTCAGACAGCAGTATGCTGTCACTGTAAGTATCTACACAGCCCAACTATACTAAGTGATTCTGCAAACGCCAAAGCCTAAATAAGGAAATAAAAGACCTGTTCAGGGCAGGTCATCAGTGTAGAAATTGAAGTAATCTCAGGTAGAAGTGAAGAATTTGAGTTTAAAATTTAAAATATAACCACTCCGTATAGGAAAATCCCCAAACCTTAGTACTTGACATGATATTACGGCATACTAGGGGGATAAGTAAAAGCCACCATCACATTCAATTGATACAAAGGACTGGTTCAGTCTTGGGACTCCACACTTTGGCCCCTTTGTCTCAACCATGCTACTTAATACATGCTAAAATGAAACCTTCTCACACATGTTGGACGTATGCATGTTTGAAATGCTAGATAAATATTAGATATGAAGTCTAGACTTATTGCTGCATTGAATTTCCCAGATAAACATGTTTTATTACCCAAAAATTAATTAATTCTTCCATTTCTACATTGCTGTAGATTCATGCAAACTTGTAATTCTGGATGTAGTTGCCATTTCCTGCTTCCCACATAACTGGGTGGGAAGGGGTCTATTGTGCATCATTCTCAGCAGTAGTCATTTTACAGAAACTCAGATTAAATTAGTCCTAACATGAGATTTTAGGAAGCTAGGTGACCAAATCTGAATAATGGAAGTCAGCTATACAATTGGTGATTAATTATCTTTCCTTCCCAAACCACTACTCTCATCAAGGGTGACTTTGGATTCCTTTGACATCCACGTCATTTCCTGTCTTCACTAGCCATTCAAATCACATCTCTCTCCTGTCTGAAACCTTTCACTTCTTCTCAGAACTTAATGTATAATGTACAGTAACATGAAAGTACAGGGTGCTTTTAGCCACAAGTCTGATCTCATCTTCCTGTTCCCTTATGGGCTAGCCTTCCTCATTTGAAGCCTCTCCCTTACATTTTTCTATGGAGTCAAAGTCTCACATTAGGAAAATAACAGAAAAAAGGTACTTTGGTAATAAATTCACCATCTGTTACTTTTCCCAGTTAACCTCCTTTGTTATCAAGAAAGGTTTTTCCTTTCCTTTCAAAGAGATAAGTACTCTTACTGAAAGCAACAAATATTTAGAAGCCAATCAGAAAAAAACCTCTAAAATACAGTAGGTATTTTTCTGCAAATATAAGGAAATAAACTGAAAATATTAACATATATTGAAAGATTTAAGCATTTTAGTTTTGTTAATTTAGAATGGAATCTTTTAGATGGCTATATACATTTCATCTAAAAATATTTTTGATGAGTGAAAGCTATATGGTAACAAATCATGGAAAATGCACTGAAGAGTCTACCGCATATCAAGTGAGAAGCTGTCTGCAATAGCTCTACTTTTTCTCGACTGCCCAAGACAAAGCCCTCTTTGACTTTCATATTTAACCTGAGATACACTGAATTAGCCTTTTCTCAAGTGTGTGAAAATCAAAAAATTACATTCCACTGAAAAAGACACAGAAAAATGCATCAAATAATGAGATAACAGGACTTTAAAGTGTCCAGAGGCAGCAAGACCACAAAGGTTTATGACACTGAGCAATTTATACAATTTTTTTTCCTGATGAAGCTAGCTTAATTTTATACACAATATTCTCCAACTGAGTGCTCATCACAGCAGCAAACTCAGTGCAAGATGTTACACGTACAATGTACTGTTTTATGAAATAAAGCCAAAGCAAACAACTACCTATATCAGCCTTTAAAGAGCTGCTTCCACTCCCTTCAAGCACATCGTGTTCAGTGTCTGAAATGGGCTTCTGTTAAATTAGGTGCTCAATACCTGCCACAAATTTCATCCTACAGCACATAAGATCTGAAGGAAGGTTTTAGGTTAATAAAGTTTGAGAAGAGATGGAAAAGTGATTTATTCCTTAAAGAGAAAGCAATGACTAGAGTTATTGCCTGCACTGAACTTTGAAGATGAGAAGTGCTATTTAAGTATTACTCCAGAAGATATGGAAGTGGAATATTTTGTATTTCAAAACCTCAAAAGGAAATTCTGTACCTCGAGTTTTTGTACCTAATGTATTTAATTTTCCCTAGTATGGTCAGAATACTGAAGGAAATGAAGTACACTTACTGTTTCTAAAGCAGAAGCTACCATTTCCTCTTCATTATGAGACTGGAGTTCAATCACCATCACACCACTGTCAAATATCCGAAGCCTAAAATCAAAAAAGAGAAGCAAAGTAACTAAAAACCCCATGCACATCACCTACGGTCACATTTCTAATCCATCCACGCCTATAACCACATTACAAAAGGGGAAAAAAAATCCAAAAACCCCCAAACAAAAGCTGTAAAATGAACTTAAGCTTAATAGCATCTTCAAAATCTAAACAGACTGAAAAGACCAGACTATATGTCTGGTCTTGGTTAAACCCTTTTCCCAGTCTGAAAAAATTGTATTGGAAGTGAAAAAAATAATGCCTTCCTAGTGAAGTTAGCCATAGCTAAACACTAGTACTTTGATGTAGAGTGGATATTGGTGCATACAGCAGCATCCTTTAAGCAATATCTTTGTAGTAGATTTTTGTTGCTGTTGTATGTTTTTTTAAAAGGTAAAATATTAAATCATCATGGTCTGACCTCTGAGTGCCATGTTTCATAAATAAATCTGTAAAGCTCTTACCTTATTGGCAATTTCAGTGATTCCAGCATTTTACAAGCATTTACTAAATCTTCTGGTGACAGCAACTATTAAAATAGTAACACATATTTATTCAGAGCTTGCATTTCAAGTACACAGTACAACACCAAAACAAACAGTTTTAATAACTACAGCTATAAAATATACCAGGCCACACACTTATTGTTAATTTTCTTCCTTTCTTTTGTGCAGTCTATTTTCTTGGCTTCTATGCTGCTTTCTGTTCCTTTATTATGTGTTCTATAATAATCCTTTTGCCTTGTTTACAGAAAGAATTGTTGTATTTTGTAAAAAAAAACTCCAAAACGTTCACCATTCTTTAGTAGTTTCTGTCCTTTAAGTTTTCTTTTCAGATAAGGATGGATTTTTCCTTTTACATAGTATTATAAAAAGCAGCACACATTATCACAACTAGTAAAGGATACATAAATATAACATGGAAGAAGGAGAAAGGTAAAAACAGCCTAATTTTAATAAAAGGCTGATCGCTTCTTGCTTTTAGACAGGTAGAATGAGCAATTGTTAGGGAACATTTTTACCCTTTTTCTTTAATTACGTTATCACTAAAGTACATTTTATAAAATATTTCACAAAAGCAGTTTCTCACCTCTAACCCTCGCGCACGATTCACCAGACAGTACACTTCCGTGAGCGACATGATCCCTCCTCGTTCCTGTGTTAAGCACAAGACTGGTAAGAGCAAAACCATCAATCCAGCAAACACAGTATCTCTAGTCGTCTGTGACTGATTAAACAGGTAAAATACAGGAGCTATGTGATGGGCCTGAATGGAGAAAACTAAAGAGGTAAATCGTATCTTTCACTAATCAGTTTAAAATACTAAACAGTAACACTACACCCAAAGACTGTGAATTACTTTGCTTTTAAAGCAAAGAATAAATGTATGAAACAGGAACAACAAATTTCAATATGTAAATCTATCAATTTACCATTTTTACTTTTCAAACAAACTCAGTTTTCCATTCTGATCACAGTAGGTAGCACACAGTTTTCACAAAAGTACTGTAATATGTATGTTTTTCAGTAGGAACATAGCCTTTTAAGTTGCAACATGAAATCTAACTTTTTGGTGAGAATCCTGAATTCTGTAATAGCTTCAGATAAATTAAACCAGGAGATATTACTAGGGGCATGTAATCTACTTAATAATTCTGTCTTACATTTGCAAAATATGTAAATTTTAAGCAGTTTAAAGACTTATTACTTGTATTTTCAGTCAGTGTCATTTCACTTTATTTTAAAAACATTATATTCTGCAGCAAGGGATGAATGCAGGGCTGTTCAAACAGAAGAAAGAGCACTTGTACAACTTTTTAAGTCTCACTGATATTTTGTAAATAGAAGAATTCTGCAAATTCTTACTTATATTTAAACATTCAAAAAGGGGATATATATTCCTTCCATAAACATTGAATATGAGTCTGTGCCGCAAGATCTGAGACTTTAAAAAGAGGCACAGCACTACAGCCAAAACATGTTTACATTGAAATTCAGCAACACAGAGAAAATGCTGGTGCAAAATGAAGTACTTTACCTCTAATGGTGTCTGCAGTATTCCAGCTAGTTGCTTTGCCAGTTGCATGTGGTACTGTGTACCCGATCCATATGTTTCCCTAGTAACTGGATTAGCTATACCCATACTCAGTAGATAGGACTTGAACCTGATAGTCTGAAAGAGCAAACAAATAAATTTACAAGTACATCAGCTAGTGAATGATACTGGTTTTTAAAAGTCTTTGATTTTATTACTATAAGGCAGTTTTAGTGAATAAATCCTTGAGTTTACTACCAAAAAAGTAATTTGCTTACAAAGAGAAGGCAAGACTTTACACAATTTTTTTTTGACCAGCAGAGGTCAAAAAATAGAAAAAAATACACAAAATCAGTAAAATCTTTGCGTTTAAGAAGCATTAAAGAAAAATTAACACTAAACAAATAAATTCTATAAGAGACCAAACCACAAAGAAACCAACCAGGAAGTGGTTTTTATTAACATTACATGGACTAAATGGATAGCTTTTTGCTTGTCATAGGCACATTTCTGTTAACTTTAAAAATGAAATTCATTTACCTCATCCTCAGTAATGTCACCTTGTTTTTCTTTAATCTTATTAGCTATTGACTTGGATAACTCCACCATCTCCTTAGCCTATCAAGAAAGACACATAGATAAGTCAACTTTCAGCTCAACGGAGAAAAGCATGCTTGAAACTGAGAAAACAAGCATAAGTCTACTTGGACAAGTGACACATGCCATACATACCTTCTCCATTAGTTTGCTAAGATCCTCAAAAGCCTGAAACAAAAAGCAGACAGTGCAGATCAGTGTAATTTATCTTCATGGATACAGGAAGTTGCCATTGTACACCTATCCAAGCTGTTCATAAGAGCTGCTATCCCTTTAGGTTAGTATGTTACAGTATGATATATCATATATAATTTGTTGATGCATCTGTTTTATGTTAGGTCTTTTAACTAAAAGAAACATAAATAACTAAAAGAAACATAAACAACAGAGAATGAAGAAGAGAATCAAACAACTGCACATTTTTCCAGTATGCAAACAGTAGTTCAATATGATTTATGAAGTCCACAATAGGAAGGAACAATGAGATACTGAGAAAAGATTAAACTGTTGAAGTTTATTATGCTCTTGTATAAGCTGGGGGAATGTTTCTTGGTGATGATGATGGCAAGTTTTCTTCCACCAGGTAACTCTCTCAAGGAGATCTATTGTTTCTGGCAGCAAGCCAGATGTAAATATACAGATGTACTCCTCTGGACAAGATAATTTTACTTTAATGAGTAGATGTTACTAAGTTAATAAGAAACAGTAATTTCAAGTGAGCAAGGAAGAGGGTGTATGTTTTCATGTGTATGCTTAACTGAAGGGACAAAACCTCTAAAAATGTGTGGCAACATCTCTTCATTTGAGTATCACAGTAAACTGCTATGGTCTCAAATACAACTCCAACAACAGCACAGAAAGGATATTTTAGGCTTAAATAAAACATATTTTAAAAATAGCTGGAAGTATACTGAAATTCAAAACTTTTAGTAATGAAAACCAACTAGCTTTAAAAAAATTCATGTTTTAAAAAAAAAAAAAGACCTAACAACTCCATTAATGCACCTACATTAACAATTGACTCTCTGTTCTCCCACCTTCATCAACACACATTCAGCATCCCAACTCGCTTCTCTCAAACATGACATGTCCAGGTGGTCAACCTTTTCAAACAATCTTTTTTGAAGAACTGATTTGAGAAAAATTCCTGAACCTTTTCAGCTAAACTTTGCCTGACAGCAGCACCAAGCCCTCCAGTCACAAGAAAAGAAGGTTGTTCAGTTAGAGTATGTCATATGACCAGATACCTATCTTGCCTACAGCTTCTAGTCACTGCTTCTGTGTTATTCCTGGCTCATTCTGACTAATCCCCCACTACAAAGACACATTTTAGCAGCATTTTGACTCAATTGTTCCCATCTGCATTTAGGTGCCTTACTTAGAAGCTTATTGGTCTGAGACTGAACATGCAAACAAGAAAAGGAGATGCTTCTAGGAAGGGACAGGGTTTGCTTTTGATCTGAACACCTCCTAATGGTGCCAGTGTTTCTCCACTGACTGGAGAAGTTCAGCCTCTTAAGACTTGGTACCTGAGTTAAATGTCCGAAGTTTAATGGGACAAACCTAGGTTCAAGGGCAGAAAAGAAAATATACCACCGTAGAACAATAATTTACCACTATGAGAACAAGAGCTTCTCTTTGGAGTATTTCTTCACTCCCTAATCTGCCAAATTCAGTAATTTACAACAGATTTCCCAATCTCTCGTGTAAATCACCGTCCTTCTACTGTACTTGTAAATGGTATCAACAATAAGTTTCTACCAAGGCTTTTCCCATCTTATTTCTAATCTCTATACCTGCATGAAAACATCATTCATGAAAAGAACCCCTGATTTAGCTAAATAAAGAGCACGGCTGTGTCTAACTCCTCCTCTGCCTGACTCACAGAGGGCAGGCCTGGAAACAAAGGGGAATGTGCACACACCTAACAGGAACTTCCTCAGATAAACAAAAGGCTAAAGAACTGGATTCTTATCAGCACTGAACAGCAGATGCAGGAAGCCTTTTCCTGGAAGCCAGGGCACCATTTTTTAAATTAAGTCATTTATAACATTTAAAGCTGGAGGAAGGCAGGATTTTACAAGTCACAGCTTTCCTCTGTTCATACAACACATACAAATGGATTTCTTTTAGTCTCCGACAAAGCTACTAAAGGAAAAAATAAGCAGACAATACCTTTTGAACTATATACACATGCATGTAACCACAATACCTTTTGAACTACACAAAACTTCATTCATTACATTCCTCACAGACAGAAAGCAAAAAAGTTTAATGCTACCAGAATCAGAAACAGCACATGGCCTGCAAAGGTAAAATCATTTTCTTAGGTATTACAGCAGGGAATGGCCTTTTCTCTCATGGCACATCAAATCCCATAGAGCTTTGCAACAAGAACAAATCTGTTGCATGTAGTTTATGAGTACTTCTGTGTTAATCTCTACCACCAAGCCGAATCAGACTATTTTTGAGGATATTGCTTTCAGGTATATATGAAGAAATTAAATGTCTCTGTTGTCCATCAGTAATGATATCTGGAATTCAACTATTGTGCTGTTTCTAGGGAAAAGGATGGTCTCTATCTAGCCCAGGTGTTTTGCAAAATATACTTGTAATGTCTTGTCAATGCCTGGACTCCAAATCATTTTACTGTAATCATAACCCTAAATCTAACTTCTAAAAAAATTACTATGTATAAGATGAAAACTCAACTTCACCACAGTTATGCTTGGACCAGCATATTCTTAATATGTATTAAATTCTCAACTGAAACCAAAATTAGTGTTAAAAAAAAAAACAAGGAAAGAAACCCCCCCTCAGACACGTATAGACTCTTTCTAGACATGTATTTGTGTTCTTTCCCTGAAGAACAGTCACTGAACTCAGATTTCTAATTCTACCAAAATTAATTTTATAAATAGACACTTAGCTTCAAAGAACAGTCTTCTTGAAAGGAACTGTTTAAGTTACATTGACAAGCCAGTTAAACAAAGTAAGTAAATGTAAATAATACATTCAATCAATTCAGATTTCTCAACAAAAAGAAATGAATAGTCTCAGATGCTCCTGCCCCTAAAAGAAAGTGTGAATGAATGTAAATGGTTCAGACAGGTGGCTGACCTTGAAAATTCAGAAGTACCTACCTCAGAAATGTTTTTGTCAGTCTCTTTTCTTTTTTCCTCTAATTTCCTTTCAATCCCTACAATTCCTACAGCCCTTATTCTTCCTGCCTAAAAAAAAAAAAAAATAAGAAAGAATCAAAATAGGAAATCTTAAATTTTCTCATCTGCCTCACTGTGAAAATTAGAGGACTGGAAATGTTCCCCCAAAGAACAGATATCATTCATACAATATTTCATACATTTCTTGACAGTATTTTTTTAAACCAGAGTGAAAAAAAAAACACAATAAGTGTGAAACATGTACAAATTTGCTATACTAGACAGAAAATTACATTATTATATTGAAGTTATTAATATGAAGAAATTTAATAGCCTGATCCAGACAGAGTATTCCCACTCATGTCAATTGTAGCCTCCTGAGTCCATGTGAACACACATTACTAGAGCTGTGGAAATGCCTGAGTGTATCTAAATATGATTACCTCAAGAAATCAAGCCTGAAGAAACACAGACATAGAAACACAATGCTAAGTGCAGTCTAATTTACCTTGCTGAGAAGTATCAGCATGGAGGTGATGGTAAAACTTTTACTAGATACCAAATGTGTTTTATAAGGGCTGGTACTTAAGTACCAGTGGTGCCAGCCCTCAAATCTCTGACTGCAAGGCTTAGCACTGGTGTTAATGAGCTGCTATGACCTAAGAACAAGAGGTAAGGTATTTTCATTAGATTCTTCATGCAGGGTACAGGTTTCCCCATTAGTCCAAATGCAGTTGTGCTTATAGGTACTACATTTGCCAAGGAGTATCAACGGGATTTGACACTGAACAATTTTTAAATCATTTTATTCCATTCATACAGTACTATATGTCCATATATGCAACATACTCATATAGAGGAACAACATCTACATGTTTATCAGAGTTTATAACCTAGAAGTATGCAGACAGATAAACAGGGTAATCTAACCACTTAACGTTTTCCATAACAACTGTCCATTTGGAATATTCATTTAAACCAAATATACATAGGTTTCAAAGTTACATATTATATATTTGATATCCAGTCACAAAAAACCCCCAGAAATTGCAATTAAGACTAAAAATCTTGCAGCTTCATTAGATGTCTCATGCTGAATAAAATTATATGCAAGTAGATATACTGCATTTGCATAACTATGTGTATGCATGTCTGATCAACTACTCTAGTCTAAACAAACTCAAGAGAGGCCACTGTGTTCTATCAGGTGAAAACTACAAAGTAGAAACTAATTTATGCCAGCGAAGAAATAGGCGAAGTAAAGCTGAATTCCCACGTGCCCATCATGTTGGTTAGAGAGGCATGCTGGATGCAGTACAGGGGGGCAGCAAGAAATGGAAACAAGAAATTACATACAGATGCTGCTCAGAAGCTCTGCACACACCTGTGTATCCTTGTTAACTTGCATGGCTTGACCAGTAGGCATGCTCTCCCATCTCCTTTGTGTCATTTCTTCTGATAATCGCCTATAGAACTGCAAACATTAAAGAGTGACAACAGACATTCCATAAACTGTGCAGGGTACCTCTGGGTATTTTTAGCATCCCGGTGGTAGATAAAATAAACGTCACTATAAGATAAAATGTGGTAACACCTACATACCCATAGTACAACATCCATTGTCTGGAAATTCTTAATGTCCAGTCTTCAAAAATACACATATTAGAGTAGGAACCATGTAATCACTAGTTCAACTCATGTAAGTATTTCTATTGTAAAATATTTCTTTCAGATATTCCAAATGTTCCAAACCATGCTAAAGTTAAAAATGTCGAGGTTTCCTCAAAGGCATGCTTTTTAAAGGAAGGACAGTTGAACAATCCAATCACTACTGATCTGTTAATTCAACAATATAAAAACAACCACACAGATCAATTACACTTATATGTTTATTGTTAATACCAGAAGGTGGCATTAGTTAAATACTTAACACTTAGTGTATCCCACTGACCAATAAATAGAAAGAAAATCTATTCCATTCTTATGGTTGTTCAGGTTCACAGGAAAGTGTTCTGAAGTCATAAAGAAAAGCTGGAGTGTAATTGATATGCTGGGAACCAGTAAGCATAGTAAATTTAATTTTCAGACACAAAACTAACATTAAAATAAATAAGGTTATGATTAGGCAAAACACCTATACAACTATGCATAAATCTACCATTGTTAATCTGAAAACTGCTCATAAAGAAATGAAAGTGAGTCTGATCCCACACATGCATTTATAAGGCATTTTTAATTACTTCGAGTTGAAAATCTGATTTTCTGTAGTGAACAGGTACAGCTTTTTTCATTGTTTGAAGTTAAAGTTCTCAGTCTCTTCGAATGAGGATCTTACACTGTGAAATTTCTTTACAGAGAGTAATTTCTTTGTCTTTTAGGATGAGACTTGTTTTAAAAATATATTAAAATTTTCTTAGAATGCTCAGAGCCTTTGAGGTTTAGTGTAGGTAAAAAAAAAAGATTTATAAAGCATAAAATGAAAAAGTTCTGAGGCAACAAAAGATGTTCAGCAATAAAATTAGAGAGATGACTAAGTTGTCTGATTCCTGTTCAGTAGAGAGGCAGCTACACAGAAACATCTTTTACTCTGTTAAACATTTAACAGATTTCAGAGATGTCATTTTGGAAAATTCTGTGTTCAATTTACTAGATTAAAAAAAAGAAGTATAAGATTATACTAAAACCACTGAAGTAAGGATAAAGCCTAATAATGGCTCTTGACATTTTTTGAACTCTATTTGCATCATTTAACCAAAGTATTGAATAAGGAAGACTTGTAGTGTTTGTCTTCAAAAGGATGTACTGAAAAAGCCCCACCTCAAAAGTAAACACGGAAAGATCACGGAAAATTATCACTAACACAGCAAGAGGAGAAAAGCATGTCCAAATATCTGATGTGCTTGGCTTGCATGGTATAAAACTTACCTCAATCTGCCCATGTTCTTTGAAAGAAAGCTTGATGTAGGAATATTTGCTGCTTTGGAATGGACCAGGCTCTTTGTTTGAAGAAGCAGGGTGAAGATGAACTACTATTTTGGCACTAAGAAAAAGGTAAAGGAAAGAGAAGAAATCTCTGTAATATCTAAAAAAATTATTTCTACAATCAAAGTTAACCATTTTATCAAAACCTCTTTTAACTTTATCTCACATAAAGAGCTAAAGTGCGTGAACAAATGCTTTACATTTGTCCATCAACATTTAAATATTTTGACTAAGCAGATTTTGCATAAAAACTGCTATACCATCTGAAACAGCAATATCTCACAAATTTAAAATGTACCTACCATCAGTTCTTCAGAAATAAGCACAACAAATTTTAAAATTTCAAGTAATAATTTCTGACAGATTTGATTGTTGTCATTCCATTTGTCAGTAGTTATTGCAAGTTAAAAGCCAAAATACACTATCTTTGCCACAGGAAAACAGAAGGTCTCAATTTTATGTTTAACCTATTCCACTGGCATATGTCACTTGTGAACACTGTATGTGAATTTGTCCAAAACCAACATTCAAAGGTAACATGCATGGAAATAACAGTCTAAAATGACACCACCAAAACAAACTTTCAGATAATATTATTTTGGGAACATTAACAGACTCCTATCACAACATGACTGCAAGCCGGCCATTCCCATCTCATTTTCCTGATACTCTTTGCATTGGTCCATATTTACTTGACTTCTCCAGCATTAGTGAATTACCTGATTTCTTATGGATATCTTCAGCATACCAAACTGACTGTAGGCTGAAAGCAAATGTCAGCTATGTATATATTTTTGCAGTTAATGTTTTTTCTCTTTTTTCTTGTGAAACTTAGAATCATAGAATCATTTATGTTGGAAAAGACCTCTAAGATCATCAAGTCCAACTGTTAACTGAGCACTGCCAAGTCCACCAATAAACCATGTCCCTAAGTGCTACATCTGTACATCTGTTAGATACCTCCAGGAATGGTGACTCCACCACTTCCGCAGGTAGCGTGTTCCAATGCTTGACATCCCTTTGGGTGAAGAAGTTTTTCCTAATATCCAATCTAAACCCTCCCTGACACAACTTGACACAATTTCCCCTTGTCCTGTCACTTGTTACTTGAGAGGAATAAGGTCTCCCCTGAGTGTCCTTTCTCTAGACTAAAGAAAGCCCCAGTTCTCTCAGCCGCTCCTCATAAGACCTGTGCTTCAAACCCTTCACCATCTTTGTTGCCCTTCTCTGGACACACTCCAGCACCTCAATGCCTTTTTGAAGGGGACTCAGAATTGCACACAGGATTCAAGGCGTGGCCTCACCAGTGCTGAGTACAGGGAGATATTCACTGCCCTGGCCCTGCTGGTCACACTATTCCTGATACAGGCCAGGATGCCATTGGCTTTCTTGGACACCTGAGCACACTGCTGGCTTATACACTCCTTTATACACATACCTACTGAATTAGTTATTCACTCACTGGAAACACTTGAGTTCCTTCTAACCGTCACTAGCATTTCCATGCTCAAAATGAATCATACAGTTATGAAAAGTCATATAATATGGAATCTGTCAAAGTTGCTATTCCCAAAGAGTTCTGTGGCACAAAGGACTAATATAAGCTTTCAAATTTAGATCCAGCAAAATCACTGTTGTCATTTATGACTAATCAAATAATAACGGC